CTTCCCTCTTCCGCCTCTTCCTGCTCTCCTTCCTTCCCTCCTTTCTTCTCTCCTTCTCTCCTTCCTTTCCCCATTCCTTTCCTCCTTCCTTCCCTCTTCCGCCTCTTCCTGCTCTCCTTCCTTCCCTCCTTTCTTCTCTCCTTCTCTCCTTCCTTCCCTCCCTCCTTCCTACCCCCCTTTCTTCTCTTTCTTCTCTCCACTAAAGGAATGTTTGTAAGCAGAGGTCCACCTGTAAAAAATTACCTTTACTATGCATATAGTAAGCCCCATTTTTGTAGAGGACATATTTTTTTCTAAACAATTTACAGTTGATTGTAAATGTATTTATTTATTTTGCATTAGCAGGCAATTTGTCTTCAACATTATTGATTTGATTTCTTTCTTTCTCTTTTTTTTTAAAATTCTATTCCACCCTCCCCTTGCGTGTAGCTGTTGGATGTCCTGGGAGCCAAGCCTTGGTGCATTTTATGGCCCTCTGGCGTTCATTCTTCTGGTAACATGCGTTTACTTCCTCTGCACCTTTGTGCAATTGAGGCGTCACCCGGAACGCAAGTATGAATTAAAGGAAAGGATAGAAGATCAGCAGAGGTTGGCAAGTCCCGAACTTGGCCATAGTCACATGACAGACATTGGGTCCGTTTCCCAGGCAACCTGCTCAATGATGTCTTCATCCTTGTTGGAAAACGAGCACTCCTTCAAGGCTCAGCTCCGAGCTGCTGCTTTCACCTTGTTTCTCTTTACCGCTACCTGGACCTTCGGCGCCCTGGCTGTTTCTCAAGGACATTTCTTGGATATGATCTTTAGCTGCCTCTACGGAGCGTTTTGCGTCACCTTGGGGCTCTTCATCCTCATCCACCACTGTGCGAAGCGAGACGACGTGTGGCATTGCTGGTGGTCGTGCTGCCCTTCTCGAAGGAACACCTACTCGGTGCAACTTAACGTCCGTCCCAAAGTTAACATCAACGGCGAAAGCCAAGCTCATGCCTCATGCCTTCAGGAATCGCCGTGCCCAAGTAAATCTGCCCTCTTTAACCACCCGGCCGTCAGTCACTGCAAACTCACTAACCTACAGGCCGTTCAAAACCACGTCAACTGCCTTTCGCCGGTCACTCCGTGTTGCGCAAAAATGCATTGTGATCAGCTCCTGGAAGATGAGGCCCATATTCATGTCCACAACGAAGGGACTTTCCGACCCAACATGCACATCCACAGGTGTTTGAAAAGTAGAACTAAGCCACGGTATTTTAGCCGGCATCGATCTGCAGGAGAAAGGGAGTATGCTTACCACATCCCTTCAAGCATTGATGGCAGCATACACAGCTCACATACAGACAGTCCCCATAGCACCCATGACAGTCACTCCGGCCACAGGCGGGCGTGTTGTGCCAAAAACAGTCCCTATCCCACCATCACTCAGCCTGAGAGTAGTGATTCAAGTACTGTGATCTACAGTTGTGCTAAAGTCCCAGAAACTGAGACAGGCCCTCATTTTGAAATGCATCCACGGACACAATCCTTGCCGTTTAGCACAACCAGCCACAATGGGATCCTAAAGGGAAACTTGCACGAAGCCATGATCTACAGCTCAGATAGTACAGGGAATATCAAAACGGGGCCGTGGAAGAATGAAACTACTGTGTAGTTGTGGTGGGGCCACATTTCTCAGCTTGCAGCTCAAAGCATCTTGGACTGCAAAGCCATGTACAGCAATTTGGGAGTCGGCCCCGTTAAATTCAGTGGGCTTGCTACTTCTGAGTAGACCTAGGTAGGTTGGTCCTGTCGGTCTTCGCTTTCCTTCTAAACTGAATTAAATTCTACGTCTTTGTGTGACACCTGAGATAACTGTACAGGTTTCCAACCTTTTTTTCCTCTTAATAAGAAGAGGCTTTTAAAAAGCAGCCTCAAAATTGTTTTCGGAAGAACGACAGAGTAATGTTTAAGGGGGGAACGAAAATGTGAACCTAGGAAGCAGACGGTGAGGGGTTACCACAAGTAGTGCTTGACTTATGACCACAGTGGAGGTTGGAATTTCTGTCATATGTTGAGTGGGAACCACTTTTACGACAAATTTTGACGGTGGTCATTGTGAATCAATTGCAATTGTTAAGCAAATCACACGGTTGCTAAAATCTAGCTTCTCCAATGGGCCTTTTTAATATAACTTTTTTGCCCAAAATCACATAGCAGCAACTGGTCATAAATGTGAATTAGTTGCCAAGCACTCAGATGGTGGCCACATAACCATGAGGGTAAGGCAAGAGTGGTAAATGCAAGTTACTTTTTCCAGGGCGCTTAACTTTGAACCGTTGTTAAACAAATGGTCATAAGTGGAGAACTACCTGTATCATGCAATGTGGTATTGTTTTCCTTTTATTTTTTGTTTAAAAAAATCTGGGCATCAGATACATTTCTACACATATCAGCATCACACCCTTCCCTTGATTATTTTTTGCAACAAAAAATGGTCTTTATTTAATTTTTTTGAAGTCAGCAGAAGAAGAAAGGATTTTATAACCAGCCTAACACAGCTTTTTAGGCCTACGAAAATGATAACTGCCTCTAAAAACATCTTCTGTAGCCTTTGGCGTGTGAAACCATGTAGTGTATGTCATTGTTCCGTCTTCTTTCTCTTTGGAAGGGAAACACTAGGTAAAAGTCCTCCGTTAACATCTGCAATGCTGTACTGGTTGTAAATTTTTTCTCCCCCGGTGTTAAGACTATTGTTATTAGTAATACTATTTTTAATTTCTGCATGACCCCCGTCAGGATAAACGCCATTTGTTGTTTTCTAATGTTGCATATGTACAAAGGGGGGGAAAAACAACACCCTATTGTAAAAGGCTGTGACTATCCATGTTGGTATTAATCTAGAGCATTTTTGACTCTACGAAAAGANTTCTCCAGTGAGTCCTTCCTTCTCATTAGGTGGCCAAAGTATTTGAGTTTCATCTTCAAGATCTGGCCTTCTAAAGAACAGTCTGGGTTGATCTCCTCTAGGACTGACTGGTTTGATTGCTTTGCAGTCCAAGGGGCTCACAGGAGTCTTCTCCAGCATAAGAACTCTATATCCAGAGCTAATTACATACAACAGCATTTCTCAACCTTGGTAACTCTAAGATGTGTGCACTTCAACTCCCAAAATTCTGTTGAATTCTGGGCGTTGAAGTCCACACATCTTGTATTGCCACAGTTGAGGAACAGTAATGTACAACATTTAAATGATTCTAAGATGATTTGGTTAGCCAGATTTCTTCAGAGATCACCATACCAGTGGATTGCTGAAAATCTCCTTAAAAGTCCAATATAAGTATAGGTTAGTCTGGTTCAGAAAACGGTTCTGTATTCCTTCAAAAACAAGTTAAGCTTTCCAAATTCCTTACATGGAGGCAAGACCCTTCACTGCAATTTGGCAGGAGAGATACATTTTTAACATGAGTTTGAGGGCTATTTTATCTCCTCTGTTCTCCTCTGATTTATACATGGAGTTTTATCTAAGCCACTGGATCTCTCCCCTGCTTGCATGATTTATTTTACCTTCTGTGGCTCAGCAAATAAGTGCACTTCACATTCAGCCCTGCCAAGCAAGTTCCCCTCCCAATATATTAACAATCCTCCCCATCCAAAAACACACAAAAAAAAGGATATATTTTCTCTTGATTGCTAGAAAAGTATTCTAGCAATTTTCTCCATTTTGGTGTTAAAACTGGGATGACTAACTTGAAAAAGAACAACTGTTTCAAGCCGAAGCAGAAAGAACGGCTGCATTATTTTAAATTGAACACACTTGTGCTGATGGGTAGAAATCTGTGTATGTTTAATTAATGTATTTATCATACCTGCAAAAATCTAAAAAGAGAGCCCTCTTTTTGTGACATGACTTTTTGTGACTCTACCCTCCCTCCTGTGACCCCAAAATAATTAAATTTGGAGCTACGTGGGGCTGCCCTTGAAGAGTGTTCGAAGACTTCAGTTGGTTCAGAACGCAGCCGCGCGAGCGATTGTGGGTGCACCCAGGTACA